CGCAGCTAATTTTTTGTATTTTTAGCAGAGACGGGGTTTCACTGTGTTAGCCAGGATGGTCTCGATCTCCTGACCTTGTGATCCGCCCGCCTTGGCCTCCCAAAGTGCTGGGATTACAGGCGTGAGCCACTGGTGTGGCCTTCTCTTTTTTTTTTTTTAAGAGACAGGTCTTGCACTGTCATCCAGGCTGGAGTGCAGTGGTGTGGTCACGGCTCATTACAGTCTCCTGAATAGCTAAGACAACATCATTATTAGTGTAGGTATATGGGCATATTTGGGTTCTCCAAAGAAATAGAACCAACAATACATATATGTGTGTATGTATATATAGGTAGAAAGAAAGAGATTCATTACAGGGAATTGGTTCATGGAGTATGAAAGCTGACAAGTCCCAAGGTCTGCAGAGTGAGTTGGCCAGCTGGAGACCCAGGAGAGCCAAAGGTGTGGTTCCAGTCTAAGTCTGAAGGCCTGACAGCCAGGAAAGGTGATGGTGTGGTTCTAGTGTGAAAGCCAGGAGGCTTGAGACCCAGGAAGAGCCAATGTTTCAGCCTGAGTCCAAAGGTAGGAAAAAGCCAACATCGCAGATTGAAGGCCACCAGGTGGGAGGAATTCCCTGTTCTCAGCCTTCTTGTTCTACTCAGGCTTTCAGCAGATTGGAGGAGACCCACCACACTGGGGAGGGCCTCTGCTTTACTCAGTCAATGGATTCAAATGCTAACCCATCCAGAAACACCCTCATGAACACACTCAGAAATAATGTTTGACCAAATATCTGGGCACCCTGTAGCCCAGTCAAGTTGACACAAAGTGTATAGTCACAGGGTGAAGGGCTGAGAGATGCCATCTCTACAAAGGTCTGGGCCTTGTGTTGGGTTCACCAGAGGGTGTGCTGGCAGCGAGGCGTCAGGCCTGGGATGTCTGTGCAGTGGACTAGTCACTGTCCTCTGTCTGAACCACAGAACGGAAGGAAGTGCCTCTTCCTGCACCTTCCTTGGCTGTCTGGGTCTGGCCGCCAGTGGTAGGATGGCCCTAGTCCTCCCAGGCAGGCCAGAGGGAGCCTTACCACTTGGTGGAGTGAAATGAATTGGCTTAGGTGGAAAAGATTCACACCAGTGACAGTGGTTCATTTTCAGCTCCATAGAAAAGTGAAGCCAGGTTCTGGTGGGGAGGTAGACGCTGCCGGCAGGCAGGGCTGCAGCTTCCGCTCTGTACTGCCTCCAGCCTGGACGCAGTGGTTTGCCCGCTCCTCTGCTACTGCCCCAGGTGACAGTTCCCCGCCACTGGCATCCCAGCCCTCCTCTTCCCAGCTGCTGCTTTCAGCTCCTCCCAGCTGCTGCTCAGGTGGAAGGGAAAACCGTCAGCTCCGGACACTGCTTGTGGGCTCATGACAGGATTTACTGCACACAGAATTAGCCAGTGCTTATCAAGTTGAGTCCTTTGTATTAATATTTCAAATAGTGTGGTCTGAACCTTTCCAGACAAATCTTACCTGCAAGATTATATTAAAACCACTCTTAAGAGAAGAAGCCTGCAGTTGGAGGTGCTGTGTTAGCCAATAAATGTAGATTAACTGTGCTCCCCTGAGTCAGTCATTGTTTAATGTGCTGCACAGGTTAATGCCTTAAGGAAGTCTGCACACTGTAAAGTGCAATACAAATACACTAATAAAATCACAGCAGACATTTGTTAAGCTTACCACGTACCCACAGACCCTATGCTGCATACGTTGAATCTACTATCTCATTTCATCCTCAGAATGATTCTGCGGGGTAGATTCTGTTACTGTCCGCATTTTCCAGATGAGGAATTGTGACTCAGGGAGATGGATGTAGCCTGTGAGTTCGGACTCTGTGCTGGTTAGACAAAACATGTCCTGGCCCCATAAAGCCAGTGTTTTCCTCCCACGATGATGCCTCCAGTTTGCATCCAACTGTCACAGGAAGAAAGCTTTCCTGCAGTCCAGGGCCTGACTAGGTCCCCACAGTCACAGCAGACTTGGAAAGGCTTTGTCCTCCACACACCACTTAAAAGCACCAACCCAGCAGCCCGAGGGTCCTCTAGCAGCCCACTTTAAGCCGACACACTGCCCAGAAAGTAGCCTCCGGGGCAGTTTTGCATCTAATGCTTGTGTCTACTGCTTGAGAGATGGTTGCATTTGCGAAAAGGAGCTCTCGGTGAGCTGTTGCCTCCACCATCCCCAAATGCCTGGTCAGCCCTAACTAGAGGAGAGCCTGTCCAGCCAGGCAGACCCCAGCTTCATCAGCAGCAAGGAGCTTGTGGTTTGCCCACCATTCCCTTTTTGTTTGTTTGTTTGTTGTGAGATAGAGCCTTGCTCTGTTGCCCAGGCTGGAGTGCAGTGGTGGGATCTTGGCTCATTGCAACCTCTGCCTACTGGGTTCAAGTAATTCTCCTGCCTCAGCCTCCCAAGTAGCTGGGATTATAGGCATGCACCACCATGCCTGGCTAATTTTTGTATTTTTAGTAGAGATGGAGTTTCACCATGTTGACCAGGCTGGTCTTGAACTCCTAACCTCAAGTAATCCACCCACCTCGGCCTCCCAAAGTGCTGGTACTACAGGCATGAGCCACTGTGCCTGGTCTAGTACCTTTTTCTTAGATGGGGCTTTCTAGAAGAAGCAGAATGAAAAAGGACAATATTTAGTTTCTGAATAAAAAGGGGCTACTGGCAACCAGGTTTGGATGGCGTCAGAAGGAATGCCTGAAGAAGTGATATCCATGTTGCTGCCCAGTTTCACACTGGAAGACATGCTGTGCAAAGATCCAGCGGCCTGCTTTGGGTTCCAGTTAAAACAAAAGTGTGAAATACTGGCACTCTACGGATTACAGACTTACTGACAACTTTATGGATTCATAGATCAAGTTTTGTTACATCGATCCAAGGTGAAGACACGCCACAGCGCATTACTTGTGGCCTTGTTACTGTCTAACTCCCTGAGTTACAGGTGAAAGTTCAGCTAAAGATGAAAAGGGCTCCAGGTGGGGCAGGAAAGGTAGCGTCGCGAGGCCAGCATCTCACCTATGCCATTTTGACTTAAAAGAGCTGTATCGACAGAGGTAAAGTGACCCATACATTTATCTTGGGGTTAGACAGTTTCTAGTTCCTCAAAATATCTGGAATCATGTCTTGTTTCTGAAGGTGCAACATGCAATGAGGAACCTGCCCGGGCGGAGGAACTCGTGTTCATCGTCTGAAGCCCCTTCATGTCCCACTCGGCCATGTGTGTAGCAGTAGGGGGTTTCGTACTCATTTTTCTGGAGAATGTTATTGTTTGAAAAGCACTCTCCAGAAAGCATGTGATTACATCCTTTTGTTACTTGGGTGAGAATCTAGGGCAGCTACAGAGCTCCTGCCTTGCCTTGACAGCTGATATTCATGATGGTCTCTTGTGGTCCTGTCCCAAAGAGGAACACAGTAGAGTTTCCGTGCAGTGAAACCTGTGTCAGACCTAAGGGAGGCAAGGGCTGCGAAGGAGCTTGAAATGACCCTCAAAAGATATCAAGGAGAACAGTTGTCTTCATATTCTCTTCTGTCTAGCTGTGCATCTGTCCATTCATCCATCCAGCATTCAGAGCAGGTCTCCCACAGTTTAATGAAGGGAACCTAATTTTTATTTCCCCAAGATCTAGAGATTAGGAAGAGTGCAGACAGTGCTGAACAGCTAAAAAGAAAGGATTCACAGCGAGGGTCTCCTTCCTTCCTTATGGGAAACCAACAAATCCTAGCCAGATGGGCTGGGCTGTCTTCAGAGGAGGACTTCACGTGTGGCAGGCTGGGGATTCCCTGCCTCCCAGTCCAGCTTAGTGCAGATTACGGGATGCAATTTAGCCTATACGTGACCTTCTGTGACCTCTCAGCATCCTTGGCAATTGGTTCATTCCTGTTTCCTGAAAACAAAGGCCTTGAGTGTCCCTGCAAACCCTGTTCCTTGTGTAGGCAACTGGGATCCTATCTTTGGGGTAGGTGCAACTCATCCTTCTTTTCTGAATAGTGTTAAATTTGAATTTAGAATGTTCTGGTTGTTAGTAATAGCATTACTGATTTTCCAAGGCCCTTGGAAAGGTCCCAACAATATGTCTTCCTTTCAAGTTGATTCTCTTGGTGCCCCATTCCCACCCACAATGTGGTGGCTGAGTTGGAAGAGGCCCAGCATCTTCCAAGGACAGCTCCCTGCCCCACAGTCCCTCCCTGGAGCCTGCTGAGGTTCTGAGCTGTCAGTCCCCAAGTATTGAAAGTCAAAAAATTCGGCAACATGGTAACGCAATCTGCCCCAATATTGTCCTTTTAATGTCTAGTTATCATTGTAGACAAAGTGGCTTGAACTTAGGCATTCATCCTAGAACCTTTAACACTTTTACTGTTTCTATACTTTTGTAGCTAATAAGTCAAATATAGAACAAAGAGAAGGCTGCATTTATTCAGGAAACTGTAAACCTGTCCCATTTTATCACAATCCTGTTGAAAGGAAGAAGCCTTACGAGGACAGTGTGTTTGCCACAATGCTGAGCCGTGACAGCTGCAGCAGCGGCTCCTGGAGCACAGGGCTGCTGGCGTGGGCTCACCGCCCTCACAGCCATTAGTCTGGCGGCTTGTATGTAGATGGATTTGTTCAGTAATCCAAAAATGGAAGGGTGATTTGGAACGTTGAGCAGCAGGCTGAGGGCGGCTGTGCATTCTGCTTTGCACTTGCCCGCTACATTGACAGCCCAAGAAACTCACCTGCCCCAGCCCAGTGCATTCTGGACATTTCTTCTTTTTATCATCTTACCAACCTCTCTGAAAATCAACTTCATTAAAATGGATTTTTCTAGAGTAACCACCAAATCACCTCCCCAACTCTCAGTCCATTTTCTGGTCAAACCATTTGTTACTTGATTCAATTCCAAATATAATATGTGTCTGCTACTGTTAAGTCGTCGCCTTACAGTCAGCCTCAGGGGTCGTCATAAACTCCAGGAGTTTCACGTTTCTGTCTGTGTTCTTAGAAGGCTGATGGGTTCCATTTTCCCCTCGATAGTGCTCCTGGGGAAAATGTGGCCATTTTTCACTTTAGATGTTTGTGAAGTGTTGGGGAGAGTGAGGGGTTTGTTCTTACATGGTGTGCCACTGACGCAAAGCGTTTTTTCTTCCTTTTTTTAGGCTGCATTTGATGCCAGAAGGCAAACACAACCTGCATTTGCGTTTTGCAAATGAATTCAACAGGTTAGCAGAAGGCTTCCTGCAGTGAGAGTGCGCACTGGAGTCTCGGTGGCTCCTTCGCGTGGGGCTTCATCGTGTTGCTGCCTGTTACCATGATGCCTGTGAAACTCTCCGCCTTGGCAACTTTCTACCCCTCCCTTCAATCTTATCCTGACCAGATGAGAACAATGACATACTGAAACCAGCCTCTAGCTTCAGGCTGGGCACGGTGGCTCACCGCTATAATCTCAGCACTTTGGGAGGCTGAGGCGGGAGAATTGCCTGAGCCTAGGAGTTCAAGACCAACTTGTGCAATATAGGGAGACTCTGGCTCTAGAAAAAAAAAAAGTTTTTTAAAATTAGCCAGGCGAAGTGGCACACACCTGTGGTCCCAGCTGCTCCGGAAGCTGAGGCGGAGGATCACTTGAGCCAATTCAAAGCTGCAATGAGCTGTGATTGCATCACTGCACTCCAACCTGGGCAACAGAGTAAGACCTTGTCTTAAAAAAAAAAAAAAAAAGGAATAAAGCCTCTAACTTCAATAGCTATGAAAATTAAATCTGATTTTCTAATATGAAGTTGTGATAGGTTATACCATTATCTTAACAGGTGAATTCCTGCCATAATTTACTTTCAAATAAATTTTACCTGGAGAATGTGTAGTGTCAGTGTTGGAGATTTTAAGACGTCTTGAATTTATACTGTACCTTTTATCTGAGAGGTTCAAGCTTCACTTGTGTTTTTATTTGTGTTTATCATATTCAAAGAGAAGTAGGGAGAGTCCGTGCCTGAGGTCCTTAATTCTAAGATCATAGGACGTCCAGACCAGCAGCAGATAGGAGCAGGTTTGCTTTACCCCATATCCCTCTTTACTCCTGGTTCACTTTTGAGAGATGAATACTGTGGGCCAGTAAAGGTGAACAAAATACGTATTTTCATGGCTCTGTACTAAAAGGGCAGGAATGCTATTAATTAAAATACTAAAGCAGAAATCCTACGTTGCTATTAAACTTTGATTACCACAATAAAAACAGTACCAAGTTAAACCTTGAAACTTTATACTTAAGCATTTAGAGAAAGAATAAAAATTACTTGAAGTGAGAACAGAGACCACAAGGTTTTCTACACATGCTTTTTTATTAGTATAGATACCTTCACAGACAATACTGTAATTTTTAGAGGAGTTCCACATCATTACATCAACAGTGTGAATTTTTCTAACAGAGGCAAAACTGAGCACCATAGTTTACAAGTAGAAAGACCATGCTTGAGGACAATAGAAGTTCACTAAGGATGCACGATTGATTTCAGAAGTTCTTAAGCCTCGTCCTCGCCCTCCTCCTCCTCGAACTCCCCCTGTTCGTCGGCCGTGGCGTCCTGGTACTGCTGGTACTCAGACACCAGGTCGTTCATGTTGCTCTCGGCCTCGGTGAACTCCATCTCGTCCATGCCCTCGCCCGTGTACCAGTGCAGGAAGGCCTTGCGCCGGAACATGGCCGTGAACTGCTCCGAGATGCGCTTGAACAGCTCCTGGATGGCCGTGCTGTTGCCGATGAAGGTGGCCGACATCTTCAGGCCGCGGGGCGGGATGTCGCACACGGCCGTCTTCACGTTGTTGGGGATCCACTCCACGAAGTAGCTGCTGTTCTTGTTCTGCACGTTGAGCATCTGCTCGTCCACCTCCTTCATGGACATGCGGCCCCGGAAGATGGCAGCCACCGTCAGGTAGCGGCCGTGGCGCGGGTCGCAGGCGGCCATCATGTTCTTGGAGTCGAACATCTGCTGGGTGAGCTCGGGCACCGTGAGCGCGCGGTACTGCTGGCTGCCCCGGCTGGTGAGGGGCGCGAAGCCGGGCATGAAGAAGTGCAGGCGCGGGAAGGGCACCATGTTCACCGCCAGCTTGCGCAGGTCTGCGTTCAGCTGGCCCGGGAAGCGCAGGCAGGTGGTGACCCCGCTCATGGTGGCCGACACCAGGTGGTTGAGGTCCCCGTAGGTGGGGGTGGTCAGCTTCAGGGTGCGGAAGCAGATGTCGTACAGGGCCTCGTTATCAATGGAGTAGGTTTCATCTGTGTTTTCCACCAGCTGATGGACAGAGAGGGTGGCGTTGTAGGGCTCCACCACCGTGTCTGACACCTTGGGTGAGGGCATGACGCTGAAGGTGTTCATGATGCGGTCTGGGTACTCTTCCCGGATCTTGCTGATGAGCAGGGTGCCCATCCCGGACCCGGTGCCGCCCCCCAGAGAGTGGGTCAGCTGGAAGCCCTGGAGACAGTCACAGCTCTCTGACTCCTTCCTCACCACGTCCAGGACCGAGTCGACTAGCTCAGCTCCCTCTGTGTAGTGGCCCTTGGCCCAGTTATTCCCAGCTCCGCTCTGGCCTGCCAGAGGGAAAGTGAACATTAGACACTAAAACATAAGGAATTTCAAAATCTGTCATTTTGACTATGGAGGAGAAGGTAGGACTGGTCTTAGACTGGCAGATTCTTCTCTTTTGAATACTCTTCTTTTACCTGAAGAAATATTTTTCTGTGTCAGCGACCTCAAAAACACTGGGGATCATAATAAAGTTAAGTAAGTTTAGCTCATCGGAGGCTATTTACTGAGGAAGAGGATAGGGTTAGAAAACTTAATTGGTTCTGAAATACATACATTTTTAACAGGCATTCTTTTTATACTCAAGTACAATTAAACAGGCAACGTGAAAGCAGTGTGACCAGGAGAGAAGGTGGCCTCAGCATCTGTCTAGCTCCGGTCATAACCTGTGCTTTTGGCCCCTGACTCTTTGAAGTCCTTTGAAGTTGCCTATAGCCTATGAAGCCTGGCTTGAAGCTTTTCCTTGCTCTTTCTTCCTTCCAGTCTGAGGCTGCTCTGCAACGGAAGGGCTGCGGCAGCCCTCTGCAGGCTGGCGTTGATCTGTGAGCCATGACCGCCCATGGACTGCGTGGAGCTAGGCCAGGACTCAGGGCTGCCGTGGACACAGTGTCACCTTGGCACTGAACACTAAGAACTGTGCTTTGCAGGGCTGTTAGGAAGAAGGTGTGTCATTTGGCCAGTTCCCAGTGATCATGACTACATACCAAACACGAAGTTGTCTGGCCTGAAGATCTGGCCTAATGGTCCAGACCTGACGGAGTCCCTGGTTCCAGGCTCCAGATCCACCAGGATGGCCCGAGGTACGTATTTATTACCTGCAGGAAACGAGAACTGACTCAGACCTGTGCTTAGGGATGGACTCACAGCAGCATTCAATTCCAGCATCTGAGACAAAAGGAGAACAGGAGATTTTCTGCTTTTAAGAAAAAGGAGGTCCTGAGCGTGCTTAACTGTGGCAAACAGGCAGGACTCTTAGGTAACCATAAAGCGTGTTTTTCCAGCAGTTGGCATTTGAAATGAATATGCAAGAAGCATGCCTTTGTCACGTGCATGTTCCTAGGACATTTCATCTCCCACATCATGGAAAACAAGGATTCCTGGGCACACACATCCCGCTACTCACCAGCAGCCTCATTGTAGTACACGTTGATTCTCTCCAGCTGCAAGTCACTGTCTCCATGGTAACTGCCTGTGGGGTCGATCCCATGCTCATCACTGATGACCTCCCAAAACTGAAATGAAACAAGAACCACACCATGGCTCTGCATCCTGAATGTCACTAAGGATGGCCTTGTCCTCCTCCCATGTCCTTGGAACAGGGGCTTTTGTGGTCAGACAGTAAGTGCTAGACAGAGAGCAAAGAGCTGCACCCCCTATTTCCTGCAGCAGCCGCTGCTGAGGGGCTTGAAAATCTGCAGAGCATCGGCCATATTATGGCGATAGACTGAAAGGCTGGGAGGGGCCCTGGAGGAGGAGGGGGCACAGCAGATGCCCTTCTAGGGAGAGGGTGGGGAGGGTAGAGAAATCGAGAAGGGGTACAGGGAGGCTCTGTCACCCCAGGCAGGGCTGAATGCCACTGCATCCGGGATGATTGATGGGTCGTGGCAGGACCAAGGACAGGGGGACCCACCCTGTATCTGCCTCCAGGGATCAAGCTCTCTTGGCACAGATCCCAGGCACCCCTGCAACAGTGCAGGTTTAATGCTAGCACTGACCACCGGAGGGACTGGGCGAAGGGCATCAGGAGCCTGGGAGGGCACCTGGGCGGCAGTGGAAGGAGCTGGCCATGGTGAGGGCGCTGGCTCCATTGTGAATTTGCGGCAGGGAGGGGGCGGGGAGGCTGGGTGGGCAACATGGCGGTTCTCAAAGAGACCACGTCCTTGTACTGGCTCCCGCCCCCACTCATGCACCAGGCCCTCTGCTGCCTCCCACACAGCGGTCAGTAATTGCAGCCCCCACCCAGCGCAGTCACCTGCCGCCTCTGGGACTGGTAGCAAAACTATCGCGTTGTATGTGATCACGTCAAGACAGTGCCCGAGCAAGGAAATTTATCTAACACCCTCGCCTGTACGACCCAAAGGGAAGCCTCTGTTACATCTGTCAGTCCAGTGACACTGCATGTTTTCATTCAAACCGTAGAGATAAATACACAAATTAAATTCATATGAAGCTAGGGCAATAAATATGACCGTAGCCCCGACCCAAGCTTCTGAGACAAATACACCCAGCGGAATGCCAACCGCGTCCCTCAGAAGGGCTGTGCCCCAGGGAAATCGAAAGGGTCCGGATTAAACGCACGCACAGCTGCGGCGCTGCGGGCATCCTGACGGGTCATGCAGCCTCCCGGGCCCCGCCCGGCG